TGACTAAGTAAGGAAAAACTTCTTTTGGACCATTGATCATGCCTCAGTGGTCTTCATCGATCATCGTTGGCCTATCATGGCTTAACGAAATCTAAGAACCACTATTTGGATAACTGTTTTAGGCTGTAAAAGATTTATTGGATCTAGCAACCTTTTTGCACTCCTAACTTTTCACCATGAAAGCAGAAGGTAAATCCCCACGGATCTACTTATCCAATTCTCCAATGAGAAAGTTGGGTCACAACGTCCACAAATCAATGTTCCGAACTTATGTTAATCATAGCCTAAGTCGAAATAACTTCACTCCCCAGGAGGAAGTCTTCTCATGGTCTACACCTTCCTCAATGGTGCGACTTTTCGGTATCTAGCGAGCCTTATGCCTCAACAATGACTATCCAAATTACGTATAACTTTAGAATAGTTTGGCGTCATAATGCAAAGTCAACCAAATTATAGAAATGATTAATCCTCAAAGACTTTGTTTTAAACTGCGCAACATTGATCCACTTTCTAAAAACAGGGGACTAGAGCCTCTGGTATTATCCTAGGCTCTTTATCATCTTGCGGAGCAATCATGAATGTTTCCTTCTTAATCACCCAGTGATGACGTGAAAAATTTTCACATTCGCTACCACGCAACTATGAATGTAGAGTATTCTTCTCTAATGGAGTAATCCATTAGTAGGCACATCGCTCCCACTGTCTCTAGGATATTGGAAATTTCTTTCCATTCTCAACTAGGCTACATAGAGCGCTATGCTTAGAATTCTCTATCTTATAGAGTTTCAAAAACTCTATTCACGTCACCTTTACTAAGAAAACTTTATGTGACTTAGTTACACTCCCACAAAGCTGCTTACCTATATGCACATGACCCGGAGGGTTTACATGACAGCATACAATAATGTGCCACGTGGCCCTATGTGTTACAAGACAGCATACAATAATGCGCCATAGAACTCTAGGTCTTAATTTCGCAACCTTATGAGAAGTAAAAATAAAGATAAGCTGCTTAACGGTTACAGGTCGCCCATAGATGGCTCTCCACTAACCCATTACATAAATGGAGTGTAAAATCTGATATGGAGGGCATTTAGTTAGGGATATAGGCAACAAACTAAAGTGTAATTCTCAATTGGGAAATATTTTGCGCCATCATCCACCTAACATTAACAATACTTAATTCCTTATCTCTACTACACCATTGTGTTGTTAAGGATTAGAAATAATCAATTTTCTAAGCATCCATTTCTCTTCACAGAGTTTTCTAAAATAACTCAAATAGATACTCGCCACCTTGGTCAAAACTAAAAGCACGAAAATTGTTATCTAATTGATCTCAACTTCATATGTGCAATGTCAAAAATTATCTCAAAACTTTTGACTTATGGGAGATCAAATAGTCTTGTCTCAGATGCATATCATAATCTATAAATGTGTCGAGATTGAGGCTTAGCTATCATACCCTTACACATATCTATTCACAAATATCATAGTGGACTAAATGCGCCAAAACAAATGACCTTCTATGGCTTTCCTACTTACTTGTTTGCACTTATTGCGAACAAAATTACACATTCACAAGAGAGCAGGATGTCATAAGCGAGTGGGCCTAAGAAGGCCTACTCAAACCATCGTGTCATCATCTCATTAATGTGATTAAGTATAATAAGCCACTGGTTCAGGACCAATGTCATAAACTAATTCTAATCATCTTAATGTGTGAGTTCTCGAAGACAAGTTTTAAAGGTTTAGGCCCAACTAGGTAATGACTCACGACTAATTCATATTCACTAGATCATAAAAGAATGTCATGGAGATATCAAGTGCACCTAATTCGCAAATTTAACTAGTAAGTGCTAATCCCCTGCACCTTCAAGTCAATTTTATTCTCTATACACTTTACTACATCTAGTTGAAAGATGACGATACTTTTCTTGCCATATCTATTTCTCGCTTCATAGTTACTTGCAATTAAATCTACTATCCACAAGAATGAGAGATTAAGCTATCAACTATGACAGGTCTTGAAGTAACTTAAGTGCGAATTAGGCTAAAGAGTCTAATTCAACACAATGCTCTCACGAGCCATGCGTCAAATTCTTAGAGTCATAACAACCTTGTCGGCCTTAACCTCTTCATTACTATGCTGCAACATTTGTGCTTAGTGGTAAACGTTATTAAAAAACATTAGCCTAGCTAAGGAATCATACAAAGAAGCCTCTCCTCATGTCTCATACTCAAGTGTGGAAACAATAAGTGTCCAGACTTAGACAAGTTGGCAATGTTAATAGATTTTGCAGCCACTAAGCGCTAATCTTTTCACTTAGTGTTAATAGATTTTGCAGCTTCTAAGCGTTAATCTTTTCACTTAGTGTTAATAGACTTTGCAGCTTCTAAGCGCTAATCTTTTAACTTCACATGATATTTCAACGCACATTATTATAGTGCATGAAATCCATCCACTCCCAATAATTGGGTAGAGAGCAAAACACTGCTCATACTGGCTACTCGTCTTACACTTAATGACTAATTTATTTACGCTCGCATTTCTTGGATGACGTGACTCTTGAATGTTACTTCATCCAATGATGCAACATTATTTACAAGTCAAATTACAAATTCAATCTGCACAGCTCAATAGTCAAGATCATATACAGATCTATTGAGGGCTTACTAATTTCATAACTTCAAAATTTGCCAACCAAAACTACGTAGCGTGCCGCTAACCATAGCGCACACATTAGTTTTTATTGTGCCAAACAAGGCAACAAAACCACAACAATTTTGAATCATGTTTCCTTATTTTGGCCCAATTAAGGTCTGATCCAAAGTCTCCAAGACTTTTGCTCATCTGAAGAATAGGATTACATTGTTCACATTTGAACATCTCTACTAAGTCTAGATCAACCAATTAACTTCCAGAAGCTAAGTCAATTTAGAGAGAAATTCGCATTGAGATTAATTTGATTAGCATAATATAATTTTACCGCAAAAATCTAAATTAAATAGTGACAATATTACACAAGTCGCGAGATCGAAAATCCGCTAAGTTCATAATCATCTCTTGCGCCACAGGTGACAATTATCCAAAATTTAATTTAATTTATGCGCAAAATATGATTTTTGGGAGTAAATCTACAAAGATTTTTCTCAGTCGAACAACCTCCCACTGACTATGGCATGTCTAAAAACATGATAAAAAAATTCCAATTCCATACAATAGCATAATAATGTAGATTCACAATCAACTCATGCTATGTCACAATTAATAATGGAATTTAAACAAATAAAAAATTGATCATGCTATTCTAATTACAACATATTAGAAACTCTAGGCAAAAAATAATAATATGCTATATTTAATATTCAAATTATGCCATAACAGAAAGTATATCACTTTTGAAATTTTCTGGTATTTTCTGAAATTTTAAATAACTAATGAAAACACATAAAATTAGAACTAAATATTCCAAAATTTGGTAAAATGCAATAACCATACCAGTAAATAGTAAACTACAACAGTAGTCTACAATAAAAAATTCAGCCCCAGAAACTTAATCATGCAACACCAGATGCATTTTAAAACAGAAATAATGAATTATTATTTCAGGAAAAATATTTTTTTATTTTCATAAAATTTTGAAAATTTTACAGAATATAGAAAATTTAATTATGAGTCTAATGGTCTCAACCACGCTTAAAACAAAGCTATAACGAATTACTTATGACCATTTAACGCGATTCAGAATTTAAAACAAAACAAATAGCACCTTAGTACCAACAGCCAAGCCAGCCAAGTTGCGGAGGAAAAACGGTGCGGCTCAGCATGCGGCTCAGCGCCGGTGCGCACGTGCGCAGCCCGGATGGCGCCCGCGTGAAAACGCGGACAGCGCGTCTCAGCGTGTGGAGGCGCGTGGCAGCCGCTCACGGCATCAGGTGGCGCGTGAGGCCCACGCTCTGCCTTCCAGGGTGTTTTTTCGTCCAACTTTGGTACTGCCGAACTCCATTTTTCAAAATAAATACATTTATGGTTTCAAAAAATGTCATTTAATGAACATAAAAAAGAGGTATTTTACACTCTTAATCTAATGGGAGTGAAAGTGCAGAAACCCTGTACTTCATCTTACTTTTTCATTAATTTTCATGCATATATCATGTATATATATTTATATAAAAATATACACATATTTTAATGCATTAAAATAAGCACGAAAATACCCAATCTGGCTCTGATACCAATGTCAATCAAAGTACAAAACGCAGCGGATAAAATATTTCGAATCATACCTTTTAGCAGAACCTGAAGTGAAGAATCTCGTGGGTAAATCACGTGCTTCCAGAATCCGAACAACGAATCCCGTAGTGGAGTGATACTACAAAATGAGTATCACCCACACAAGTCACAGTGCAAAATGGCATGATCGTTGTTTAATGGGAGAGAGTCAGAGAGAGAGTCTGCGAAAAAAGGTTATGGGTAAAAACCACATAACGTATCTGATATATCAATATATTATCTAAAATACATAATCAGATATATAACCACCAATATCTATCTATCAATCTATCCATATCTATTGATATGATAGATATAGATATCTTGAAGGTTATCTAAATAAGTTTTGAATTCAAATTCAAACTTACATGGATAAGGTTCAAAAGGTTCAGGTTCAAAAGGTTCAAAGGGTCATGCCACATGGGCGCCCAATTTCTAACAACGATAGAAGCAAAGCCATAGTGGAGTTATGGGACTATTCTACATTTTGGTTGCAGATGATATGTCACCAAACAACCCCAATTTTGTAGTCCATGCTTCAATTGAAGTAAGATTTTTAGGTGAAAAACTTTCTTACTGTTAACTTGCTTTGGTTTTTTTTGGGAAATTACAATTCAGTATAATTTTTTAAAAATAAGTTCAGATAAGTGGTAAGAACTATGGTATTGTTATTCTTTTCCTCTTTTTGTTCCCAGATTTCCATGTTTTGAATCTGAAGCTTCTAGCCAATGATGACAAATCATAAATTGACTGAAATTCAAGTTTTTAATATTTGCCATGGTGTTGAAATTCTTGGACCATAACGGTCTGAGGCTTTGCACTTTGCAGTACATTTGTGTTATACATTTGTTTATTTGTCATTCGTATCACTTTGTATATTTGTATTTATTGATTAAATTAAGTGAACATAAAACATTTGAAATTGGCTTTCATTTCTATCTTATGATAGAAAAGTTTCAAAACTTTAATGGAAATAAATAACTCCCATTGGTGTCCCTTTTTTCTTGTAAAATATTTGGCTTCTTAATTTTGTTGCTTATATATTTCTTTAGTGTTTGTGGATGATGATAAAAAAACACGTCACAATTATCCCTGTCTGATATATTTGTGCTGACCTTTTGTGATCTGACACACACTATATTTTAGTTTGTTTTTATATGCCAATAATTGTTTAGCTATGGCTATATACCATTGACTACCCAAATAATGTGTAATAGAAAAGGTACATATGTGATATGCCGAATGATAATTGGCTTTGGATAGACCTCTATGATACAATAAGACAATGTAACAAGAAGTCAAAAAACTTTTCTAGTCCAGTAAATTCAATCTTAAACTTTTCTCTCTTTGATTATCAATCTACCAAGAGGTTTGAGGAGTATTGTGGAAGTGTAACGGGACTTCTTTCTTAGGGATTGTTGTTGACGAACAGGGCCTATAGGGGCTCATATTCCTCAGTGTTTTATTACCCTTTCATTTTTTAATCTTCTTAATATAACAAGTAGCAAAACAAGAACAACAAAAAACTTAAAAATGGTTTTCGTTTTATTATCACTATGTTGCACACTCTTCCTAGGGAATTTCAGACAAAATAGTATTTGAGTGTTGTGTGCAAAATTTACTCTTTCTATTAGATTGAAGGCATTGTATGACATTTCTAATTTTAATTATTTTTTACATGCTGTTGAGTGAATATGTGCATCTGAAGTCTTATTACCCATTTTATATGGATCCATTAATCTAGGTTATTAATAATTTTACGTAATTAACGCCCCTAATTGTACAGCTGATTATATAGCTAGACTTTCTTGTTGATCTTCTTTTCATTGTGGCAGCTGTTGAATTTTTACGGAATGTACCTGAAGGAAAGTATGATGCAATTATTGTTGATTCATCAGACCCTGTTGGTATGTTTGTAATTCAAACTTTCTACCTATTTTCCTTTTTCCTATTTATTTGCCTTTGTTACAATGCTTTTCAGAATGTTACTTAACAAATGCTTCATGATCTCAAACTATGCGGAAAAAAAAAATTGATTGACGGTTGTCTTAGTTTTTCTTTTATATTTCTAGTCCTTGAAATTTAGGACCATATGTATTCACAATATGGAAGGTTATCTTAGTTTTCTCTTCATTTTTCTCCTATTTGGAGTATAGTCACATAACTATGCATATGGGTAGATGTTATATAATTCCGAACGCCATGACTTTAGGGTCCAATTTAAACTTGGGAGAAACGACGTCTATAGCTGAAGCTCTTGAAATGCATTAAATTGATATAATTGAACTAACACATTGAAGTGTATTAAATTTTCAAGTCAAGTTTGATATACATTTTTGCAGATTTTGTTGAGGGAATAGTTGATATGATCGAGCGATTGATGTTGGGAGCTAAAGATTATGTTGCTCCTTTTTTCTTTTCTTTTTTTTCGTTTTTTGAAGACTTGAATTTTTTAGTACGATTTATTTAAGGATGGTTAATGGATAATGTCTATTATAAATTTATTTAATTTGCTAATTTTGTTATTTTTCATTTACAAAAAATTGTTTGGTGCTTGTAATTGATTTTTTTGTTGTAGCAAACCCATATATGATTTTTTAATAAATAATTACTTGCGACAGTAAAACAATGGTCGCTAAAAGTGTTTTTTATTTTTTTATTTTTTTTGCGACGGCAAAATAGCTATCGCAAAAAGTAGTTTAGGCAGTTGCAAATAATTTGCGACTGTTGCTTTGCCGTCGCAAAAAGTATTTGCCACCCCCACATTTGCGTCCCCCATCTGCGGTCACATAGGCCGTTGCAAAAAGTCATTTTGCAACTGTATTTTTATTATTTGCGACGGCATGTGACGGTCACAAAAAATATTTTTTTTAGTAATGTTGGTTTCATTTTGTAGAACTACTTAGAAAAACAACATATTCAAAGTTGCACATAACACCTCAATTTGTATGTAGTAAAAACAAAAATCAACATCAAGCTACAATTCCATATAATTCAAGCCTTAATTTAAACATATCACATCAATTTTTATTTTTATTTTTTTTGAGCAATAAAAGAGAATACTGAGACAAATATCGTATCAAAATTTTCCAATCCCAATTAAGTTAGTATCAAAAAAATAAGTTTATTAATATGTTAGTACTAAACCATGGTTGGTGAGAGGCGAACCCAACAACCTAAAGAATACTGTCCCAATTCAAAGACCAAAAGAAGCCAGATAACATCAATTAATATACCAGCAAAGATGAACTCAAGTGCACCGATGTCTTCACCAGATCATCAACTGTGATGCATGCTTGAATCAGAGATCATTGATACATCCTTTCTAAGACCTTGAGCCCCCCAGGCTACTTGTATCAACACCTCTACTCAAGCAGCAGCGGCAACACCGCAAAACAAGCGAAACCTTGAACCACTCTACACTTTCCATGAATTATTATGTCTTCCTACAAGTCACCGTATACCTTTCTAATGTGAACAAATCACATTAATTATCAAGTTATAAAATCTTATTTTCTTTTATACTACCAAATAACAAATCTCCACTCAGCTCCCATTAATTTTTAAGATGGGATCATATAAAAGTGCATCTTCGTGAAAAAGAGAGAACTTCTTCTTCTTCTTCTTCTTCTTCTTCTTTTTTGTTTTTTTGTCTTTGTTTTTGAGAGAGAGAGAGGGATTTCAACCTTAGTTCCCATCCTTCTCATTTTTTTCATAGAAAATCAGACCCCAAAACCAAAGGTAGGGAGTCAAATTATTTGACAAATTTTTTTTGTGGATAAGAGAGAACTATTAGGAATTCATTTTTAAATTCTTTTGTGAAATGTAATATAGATATAAGGGGTTTAATCTTGCATTGGTGGGAGTATTGAGTGGGTTTGCTCGAATTCCATTGAGGCTCTTTCACATCTATGGTTCAACTCTAATTATAAATGTCTCAAGCGAATCATTTAGTAAGCTTGTTTCCTCAGTATTTGTTGGAATCTGTGGCTTGCTAGAAACTTCACTATCTTCAAGCAAGGGCAAGCAAATTGGGAAAATACGATAAAGATACATGTTGCCTTTGGGTAAAATCTAAATCTGGGTTTCAGGGCTTTTTAATTTTTGATTGCTCGATGCACATCGATGTAGTTAGAAGAATCAAATCAAAGAAGAAGCGTGATCAAGGCACCATATCGTAGTGTCTTTCCTTGTTATTTTGTTATGTTTAGTTAGCTACTCGCTTTCTTTTCTGGTGTTTTGCTTGGGGTTGCACATGATTTTGCTTGTTTTGGGGTGCTAACCTAGTTGGGATTCATCTTCTAAGCTATGATGCATTTCTCCCCAGCTTGATCTCTGTAATCTCTCTTTTCTTTTATTAATAAATTTTCTCTTTTGCCGATAAAAATAAAAATAAAAAAGATAGAAGGGGTTCAAACCCAATTTTCAATTGTGAGAATTGTATTATATTTTGTAAAGAAGAAAATATATATATATGATTGTAATTTTTTTTAAACAAATTGTCTCAGTGGTTTCGCTAACATCAAACGTCGTTGAGTAGCGTCACCCTTGTGAAAAAGGCAGATTTCTTGGTGAATAATGTTACCTTTACTGGAATGTTTTGTAACGACCCAATCTTGGCAAGGCAAAACCCTGCCAAGAGGGTGCACCTCAAACGCTATAGCACCTTTCAATTGCCTAACATATATGAGATGATCTATTCAAAGACAAAAAAATATTATCATGCTACAAGATAGTTCCCAAGCATTTCCTCTTTTATCTCGAGTAAAAAGGTTTTAACCTCCACGTAACATTCTTGTTCCCTCTTTTATCTTCTTTAATAAAGTTAATTGATACTACTGAACAATAGAGAAATTCCAAAACTTCATGAATCAAATAAAGTTAAATTGATGGAAAGCTTTTGCCATTGTTAGATGCTGTCTGCTAGACATGAATGGAAAATATAAGAAATTCAACGAATGGCGACATTTTCACTTGTTACAGTGTTTGAAATGTCTCAAGAAATTTTCTTTGTTTTATTCAGGAAGTCAATTTAATTTCCATTATAGAACGAGCTACTTCAAAATGTTTGGAGCATTAGGATCGGAAAATAGCAAAATGCTAAAAAAGTGTTTGCACCGACGTTAGCTGTTTCAAATGACCCATTTTCAATAGGAAATAGCCCGACTGAACTGGCAATAGAAGATTGGCTTTGAAAGGCCCATGTTTGTTTGGAAACTATCCAACCAAGTCAATGTTGGTAGATTAGCTTCACATGGCTTCATGTTCAATTGGAAAAGGCTCAACGAGTAATAGTCATTGATTTTCAGTGATCGGTGATGAATTTTGGACTAATTCCTCCGTTTTGACAAAATTACTATTCTTAGGAATCATATTTTAGTTATAACTTTGTCTAACAATTTTAGTTTTTGTTTGCTGTTTGTTTTGGCATTTTCTAAAAGTTCTAATATCCGAAATTTGCTACTGTAGTAATTGTGTTTATTTATTTAATATTTTGTTAGTAAAGTGTTATGTTTTCCTATTTTTAGTAGTTTTAGGTGTTCTATAAATGAATTGTAGGTCTTGGGAAAATCCAATTTTTCATGATTAATAATGTTTCTGTGAGGGAGAGAGAGAGAGAGAGAGCAGTCCATCAAGTTGCTCAACACAACTTTGCAAATCCAATCAGTTATGCTAAACTTTCAAATTACCAGAAAGATGACAAAAAAGAGTGAATGCATACATTAAACTGTACAAAATTGCACATAGAAGTGAAAGCCTTAGCTCCAACTCTAATTCTCAAGGTTGTGTTTTGATCTTGAATTTAAGAAGGAATTTGTGAAGGGAAAATAAAAAGGGAAGGAAAAGATGTCATTTTTGTCACTTTTCTCTCCATTTTTGTTTTCCCTCCTGCAAATTCCTACTCAAATCCAAGATCAAACATGACCTAAGTGTCATTTGCTTTGCAGTTTCTTGTTACTGCATAAAATAATGCAAAATGCTTGCAATGAACAATGACATTCTCACTTCTATACAAGTCTTTGAAATGTCACAAGAAAATTTCATTTGTTTTCTGCAGAAAGTCAATCTAACATCCATTACACACAAGCGAGTTATTCCAGATGAAAATGTTATAACACAAGTCCATCAAGCTGCTCAACTTGTGGGCAACTTTGCAATCCAACTTGTTGCACTCATCTTTCAAATTATAAGTAAGAGATGACCAAAAAGAAAAAAGAAAAAAAGTGAATCCATACATTGAATAGCAGGAAAGTTCAGGCTAAATTGAAAGTCTAAGCTCCAAATCCAGTTCTTGACTGTCACTTTCGGAGTTCTGACTGCTGCCTATTGAATCTGTACTCCGGTCTTTCTTTCTTTTCTTCTGCAGTGAGTCCTACATCATGAATTGTTGGAAAGAACTTGTTATTCAGAGTTTTAAATATTGGTCGATAGGTGTCATGATTTTGGACTAATGATATTGACATTCATTGACATATAACTGTATCACCAATATTGATATATATCTTGATACTATTACATGTTCATGATAGCAATGGTCCAGAAGTACATAGAAATTATGGGCATTACCTCAACTTGTTGGTTCAGAAAGTGTCTTGGAATGCCGGGTTGTGCAAAATGTTGGGTCTCCGACATGCTATTGCCAGGGTTCCATCTGTTTTAGAGAATTTCACATGTTGATTAGAAATCAAATGTTCAATAAAAACAATATTTCCTAAGTTGATCACTACGAAAATTTTTTGGTAGGAACCTTGCTGTAGTACTGGGTTGGGAATGATCAGCATATCTGATATTTGCTTTTTCTAAATCTACCATCCCCATCTGTAATAAAGTAAAATTTTGACTGATTCAGTTACTGTTACAAATCTATATCGAGCAAACATACAATAATAAATGTACAGTCAATAAAAGTAATAAAAAAATATAAAAAGGAAAAACAGCACCAGCAATTAGGAAAATCAAAATTCAATTTCCTACTCTCTCTCAAGTCATGATGATGGTGATGATGATGAGGATGAGAAATGATGAAGCATTGGAAGCAACAAGTACCTATAGGTTTAACACTAATTTCTATGTTTGGAAACAAACACTTCCAAAAAAATGGGAAGGGTATATAATTCAAGAAACATTTCATATATAAATTCATATATAGTACATAAAAGGAAGTCATTTTGAATATACAAGGAAAATTTTGTTGGTATTTTGTGTAATTAATTACCTAGTTTTTGTGCACCCTAGATCTCTCTCTCTCTCTCTTGTGAATGCATTATGAGAGGTGAATTAGGTTTGATAGAGAAAATTAACATCAACAATAAAGAAAAAAAATTGATCGGTAATGATCTTTTTAATTATTCATTAAAGATAACAAGTTTCATCGCTAGAAGGTACATCTAATTAGGTTGACACATATCCGCAGCAAATCAAGTTGAATGTTTAGAGAAAACATAAGATGATCAACAAATTAAAAACGAAGATGAAATTATGAGTCAAGATGGAAATTCTCAAGTTGAACGTGTTTTGATCAAACTAAACATAGCAAGTCAAACATACCATGATGTTTTGCTGGCCATGGATACCATAAGAAGGTGAGGATGATGATGTATTAGAGAAGGAAGATGATGATGGTACTGATGAATAGGCTGTTTGCATTCTCGTATCCTCCTGCATATGTATGTTTGACAACAAATCTCCATCAAAATCCAATAGAAAGAGAGAGAGAGACAGAGAGAGAGAGAGAGAGAGCGAGAGCGAGACCTGGTTGAGGTTAGTGGGGTAAGGAGGAGCATGAAGAGAAGGAAGATAGCTACTACAACCCATTTGACTATGCAATCTGATCTTCTCTAACTGGGCAACACCAAGTCCTCTCTGAGGCTGCTTAGGCTTGTCTGAATTGCCCTTCTTCCCTTTCCTTGATGACCCTGAAGAACCAGATCTTTCATTTCCTAGGTTTGGTTCCCCAGAATAACCACTACCCATCTCTTTTTTCTGTGATGAGAGAGACAGAGATGGAGAGAGAGAGACAGAGACTTATTGGAAAAAAACTTCAGTCAATCTGCAGAATTTCTTGCAACAGCTGCTATGGTGTATCAGAGATCTCTCAACACCCTTTTTAAGCTGTTATAGCACCAAAGTAATTATTGCATCGCTGGATCAAATTGTTTATACATCATATATATACATGATGATATATCTTGTACATATATATACTTAGATTTTATGCTTTTTTTTACCCCACCACTCCTGCCTCATTTTGGAACCTCAATAAATTGCCATATTTTATTTTTATTTTTTCTTTATTTATGGACTTTGGTGACAATGACTTGAAAGTGATTGTCTTTGAATTATAACTGTTAAATGTTAATATATTATAAACTATATAAAACAATTATGATAGTACATATCATAGGGTGAAATCTGTCATAAAAAATATATATATATTTTGATTAGTTTTGTGATTAGTTATGTCACTATAGATTTGTTGTTTATTATACAGCATTAGAAAATTGGTAAGTATGTGACAAAATATAAAAAAAATTACTCTAAAAAATAAAATGTATGGATTACATTTATTCATATTATATTTCACATTAGCCTAAATTTAAATATAGACTTCACACTTTATTTTTAATAACTTTTCAATATACGTTTTTAGATTGTCTAAATTTTTTCCTTCAAACTCCACCATACGCACTTTGTTAACATGTTAATTAGGTTTTCTCTGATCAATATTAAGAGCAATGCCTTTCTATGCCAATGATGTGATGTAGCTTTATGTGACTAAATTTGCTATAATTGCCACCATCAACACTTTGCAAATATTTTTTTGTACGTCACGCGAGCTAAAAGAGAGTTGGGAAAGATAAAATTTTGTATATCAAGCACTCTAAAGAGAGTTGAGAAAAGATGAAATTTTGTATATCATGCGTGCTAGAGAGTTTAGATCACAAATCTTAGCAATAATTTGATTAGCAGTATAAAGTAATTAACAATTTCTTAATATAGAAAACTAAAGTGACAAAATGATTTTATTTTTATTTTATTTGATAATTTAGTTTATCATTGGTCATGTAAGTTTTTAAGCTAGATGGATCCTACTTTTCATGAGTCTTTTTGGTTCTATGATCAATGATGGTGTTAGATGACAATATTTTAGTGAAAAAAACCCAACTATAATATTCTCTAAGCAACTTATTTAGGAAGGTAAACTACATAAAGAATTATAAACGTTGGACCCAATCACTATTAAATTATAGATTCTAGAAATCTTTATAGCAACTTCCTAGGGATTGTCTTCTAGGAAAAAATGAAATTCTTGGCCTCATAACCAAATCTTATCAAACTCAGAAAGTAAACAATTCTTGTCACAGAAAACCCTATTAAAAAATATATATTTTTCTCATTGAATTCAACCATTCAATATTCAATTTCTATAGAAACAAAAATAATAATAATTATTATTAACCCTAGATATAATCATATCTAAAGAAACCCCTAGATATAGGGTAAATTTGTTGGTAAAAATATCAGCATCTTTAAAAAAAAATCAAAATATTATGTGCGCAAAATAAGTTATTAGAAAAGTGTTCAAAATTTGAATATATATTACAAATTTAAACTTTGTGTGATGTGGGTTACACCCAAAATAAATTTAATCTATACATTTTAAGTTTTGAATACTTTTTTGAGGTCTCGTTTGAAAATTTGATTTTTTGACTAAAAAAATATTAAAAATTTAGAAAAAAATTTAAAAAAATACTAAAACATCAAAAAACCAATTCACAATTTTTAACATAATATCACTCTTAACAATATTTTGCTCATTGAGTTCATCCCCTCAATATTTAGGGAATGGGGTTACGCTGTGAGACTTATTAGGGACTTATTTTTATGATGTGAATCGTTTATTTTGTAGGATTCGTTGAATATTTCATGCATGTCAAAAATCATGTTAATAAGATTTTTTTTTTTATCAGCAAAGAAAAATTTCATTAACAGCATGAAATTAATAAGATATTGATAACCATTTGATCCAATTGCATTTATCATTTTTTTTAAAAAAATTTGTTTTTCTTTTGAGAAATAGTATAAAAAATATGCAATTCGATCAAGTGGTTACCGATATAAGATCAATAAAATTTTTTGGTATATATTAAGTACTCAACAAGTCTTATAAAATGAATGGTTCTGATAATAAAATTAAGCCCGTAAAAAACCTCTCATTCAGCTTGTAATATGCCTCACATTGAAGCACAACAATTTTATTTTTTTTTTGTTTTTTTTAAAGAGACACAACCGTTACTGTTGTGCGAGCAGTAACCCCATGCCCCAATATTTAACTCCTAACCCTAGATATAAGGTAAATTTGTTGGTCAAAATATTGCAATCTTTAATATATATAAATACATTTAATGTATATTTATTAATATTATATTGTATCGAGAGTTTCAATACACCAAATCTAATTGAGCTGTTTCACGCATGATTTGTGGGGCATATTTTATGAGTTGTTTGTGTGGTGGAAAGTGAGAATCCTCCCAATTTCTTAAACTGACATGTGAACTCACACAATTACAAAACATTAACACAAAAAAAAAAAAAAAAAAAAGAAAAAAAAAACCAACAATTTTTTTAAAAAAATTTTTTTTTTTTTTTTTTTTTTTTTTTTTTTTATTAATTCTTGTCTTGGTATTAATTTTTGTTTTTTGGTAAGTTAGCAGCCAATAAAACATAAAAAAGACAAAAATAAAAAGTAATTAATAAAATAAACAATAGCTTATTAATTTAATGTTTTGGGTGGGCCATATTGGGCTTGAAAGTCCATAATACTGGCTTATCATGAAGGCCATTGGCCCAAACTCTGCAGTCCAAAAAAAAAAGGATGAGCTCATTGATGACCCAAAACTACATCTTCATTCCTTTGAAAATCAAATGAGTTTAGTCATCATGGCATATGCAATATACATCCTCTAGTTTTGCTACCAACAGAAATTAATCATAGAATTAGATACAAAATATACGTAAATATATAAGATTTTACCGAGATTATTTGTGAGGTCTACTTTTAAACAATCTTAATATCTATCCATATATATTATGTGTTCAATTTTATAATTAATTTATGTATTCGTAAACTTATTCTAACACCTATGATGTTATATGTATAGTATATGGTGGTTTTAGTAAATTATAGGTGCATGCATGCCAATCAGATGAAGAAATGCATGTGATCTACGTCATTTGCTGATTTGAATATATCCTAGTAGTGCAACTCTCTATTTTTTTGTTTCTACTAATATTTTTAAGGGTAAATCATAAACACATTCTTTAAGATTTACTTAAATTACAAATTACCTCATGTTTATAATAAATAGGTCATTTTATTAATAAATCATCAAGTTAATTAACAATTTTTAATAATGTTAAAATTTTATTCCAATTAATAATTTAAATAATTTTATTATTGTATAAGTGAACAGTTAAAAATTTCACCTTTTCAATTAATTCTGTTAAATAAAAAATTCTGACAAAGACGTATTTATAATTTTTCAAACCACAGGGAACAATTTGTATTTTAAGCAAACGTCAGGATATTGTATTTGTAATTTACCCTATTTTTAAAATAATCCTTAGATTAGTTTTTAACTTTTGTCTATACATAGGTAGTGACAGTGGGATCCAAATACATAAGAACAATAATTATTTTTAATAGTAATTCTAAATATTCATAAAAAAAAAAAAAAAAAACCTAAAAAAATCAATGTTAAACAATGAGTCATAATCCTCTTGTTTGTTTTGAGGGAAAAACTTTAAAAAATAAAAAAAAAATAAAAATTCTCTTCCCCTCCCCTTTTGCCTCAAAATGATATTTTCTGGAATATTACAAGGTGCGATACAGATAATACATTACAGAGAATTCAAATTCTCAAATAATAGGCCCTCTTTGATGTGGGTTAACAAAGTTTTGTAATTTTTTTAACATCAATAAAAAAAATTAAGAGAAAGAAAACTACAGAGTCTATAATCACCAACAACAAATTGGTATTGATTAGTGTTAAAAGTTACATACAAACAAGCTAAAGTCAAGAGGGTATGGGTTTTTCTGATTAGTCAAATCCATAGGTTTCTTAGTATAAAATATAGTGTCTTAACCCAGGGGTGAGTGGCAACCTGGTAAGGGCTTGTGGTTTAAGCCCCTAGGTCCTGGGTTCAACTACCCTCTGGGCCAATCTCCTGGACGTAGCACAGTTGGTTAGGAGGTTGACCTCAATGATGCCTTATCAGCTACTTGGTGTGGGTTTAATCTTCCCCGCTGTGCGAGTTCTGACTTAAGCAGAGCTTGCCTTGGGAGGTCGGGACAAGCTTCCAGGTTATAGTCTCTTACTCGGAACGGACAACAAGACACCCTGGTGATCTCCTCAAAAGGCGCGCTTCCAGGTTATAGTCTCTTACTCGGAACGGATAACAGGACACTCTGGTGATCTCCTCAAAAGGCGCTGCCTTGGACCTGCGAGAGAGTGGGAGGATTTTCCTGTAACAAAAAAAAAATATATATATATATATATAGTGTCTTCTTCCATCAGTCATTTTCAAAATATTTGGTGCCTTCAATCCAACTACCAAGCATAGAAACTTTCAAATCATAAAACATTAACAAAGCAAGCGCTCTATGTTATTTAAAGAGTACTATATATATAAGAAAGAATAAATAGAATAATGTAATTGAATTGTCGTCTTATCACATTAAATAAAAATTTGTTAATAATTTTTAATATAAAAAATATTATTACCATATTATTCTGGTAAATGAATTTATATATGATTTTTTTTTTTTTTTGATAAAAAAATTAACATTTTTCTTATTTGTGAATCTGTGACTTACAAACTGCTAGATATCTCTATAGAGGTTTATTTATTTGTTTATTTTTTAAGCAAGGAAAAGTCTCTGTAGTTTAGTTTGATGACAAGTGGAGGATAGAACCAATGGACAAGTGGTTTAATTGGAATGATACTCTTGTATTCAATTTAAATAAGTTTTTAATCATGTGATTATTCAAATCAACTCATTTTCCTTGTATCAAATAAAAAAAATTAAAAAGTACATGATTTGTCATTGGCACGCCACGTGGATCGTTTTCATTACCGACTCTTGATGTAAAGCATGACCTAAGTTTTAGTTTAATGAGGTTTTCAAGAATTATTACAATGAAAAAAAGGAATTGAACAAACTTTGG